GGGGACAAGCCCCGGCATTGGGAGCGGACTAACGTGTCCTCGCAGTCTGATGTTTGATGCAACTCTCCCTGTCTGCTGTGGACAGTTGCTTATAATAAATTGTCCGCGCGTTCTTTTGTGGCCTGATTGGCCGCATTGGGATAAAGTCACGCAACCAGTTGACCTTCGGGGAACAGCGACCAATTTTGCCTTGCGTAGGCTCGCGTGCGTGCGTATCCGTTGTAGCATTTCAGGTCATTGCTCTGGGCCAGCCCAGCGAACGCTATTGATCAAAGGAATCATTGTGGTGGTCGGCGGCAGGCACGACGCCTTAGGAGAGCCTGCGCGGTTGCTAGCCTTTTGTCAGGCTACCGTCCTAACACCCACTTCCTTCTGTACAGAAGAAAACTATTCCTAGCATTCTGGCCTCCAATATGTTCTCTTCGCCTAAGTATCCCGACCTTCAGATCGCATTTGCTATGGTTTAACTTACTTAACCCTCTCTGATAGACTCATAGGTGGTTTCGCAGTTTGAACGGTCAGAAAGTAAGGTCTGGAAGCAATTGCTGCCCAATATACTATCCGGTCCCCAGGTAAGAGATCAGTCAGTCAAGGCTGAAAAGTTATCTTCTATTTTGCTGGCTACAAATGCAACCAGTTGACCAGACCAATGAACGAGCGCCCTCCAAGATCATGCTTGGCCGCCAACGCTAACTGGTTGCCGGGACACGGCTGAACCAATGATGTGAAAGCCGTCATCAGCCGAAGGCAATTAGCTGGTAGAAGCGAATAGAAGAGTTCCCGGAAGAAATTTAGAAGTAGAATATGCGATCGTTGGAAGAAGTCTATTGACTTGAGGTTTCGCATTCTCACTCGAATCCAGCCTCCGATAAGGATGATAGAGGCACAAGGTGCCCGGTATTTATATTTAGACTGTCCGAGCCCCAAGTTAGAGATTAGACAACCAAGGCTGAGAAGATATCACTTATTTTGCTGACTGCAAATGTTACCAATTTACCAGACCAATGAACGAGCGCCCTTCAAGGTCATGTTTGGACGCCAGCGCTAACTGACGGCTGTCCGCTTATCTACATCGAATGACTGATTTTGAGATTTTTTAGGATAGCCCACGGAAACCAGTCAATGTGACATACAGACGACTAGACAGGTGCGACGGCACGGCTGTCAAAACACGGCTTACTCGCACGCCAAACCTGCATAATATCTGATTCTAGTCGGCGCGCATTGCATTGTACAGTGAAAATGCACTGTGAAGCCGGCA